CTTCCTTCCTCTCCTTCCCTCCTATCATCTCTGTCTTCCTTCCTAATATCCTTCCTTCCTTCCCAACTTCCTTCCTTTCTTTTTCTTCCTTCCCACCTTCTGTCCTTCCTTCTTTGACTTCTTTTCTCGTCTGCCTGCCCTCATTTTGACCTCTTCCTCCTCCCCTTCATTCCTTGTGTTCCATCCTTCATAGANATCTCTGCCTCTTTCCTAACTTCCTCATTCTTTCTCTCTTCTTTTCCTCTTTCCCATCTCCTGCTTGTCCATCCATCTCAGCTTGGCCTCCCTCACGGGGTTGTTGTGATGATGGAGGTCCACTCCTACCTCCTGGTGACAATGAACCTCCCATGGAGGCCCCTCCTGGCTTACCTGGGCCACCCCTGTGGATGCCGTGACGGGCACCCATGCGCTCAAAGAGGATCTCGCTGCGGGGCTTCTTGAGGATGTACTCCTCAGCCTTCAGCATGATCTTGAAGGAGCTGCGCCGGCGCGGACGGGGCCCACCCCAAGGGTCATCCTCCTCCTCCGCTGGCTCCAGACCCAAACCCAAGAGACCCGGCAAAACCTCCAGGAAGACCTGCAAGGGGAAGAGGTCATGGGGTCAGAGTGATCACATCCAGGCACACCTGTCTGGAGGGACTCATGGTCCACCAAGGACCTTCTCTAGATGCCTCTATGGAAAGTCCTTGGTGGACCATGAGTTCCTCCAAGGCTGAGGTTGATCCATGCCTACTGGAGGGACTCATGGTCCACCAAGGACCTTCTCTAGATGCCTCTACAGAAGGTCCTTGGTGGACCATGAGTCCCTCCGGGGCTGAGGTTGGTCCATGCCTACTGGAGGGACTCGTGGTCAACCAAGGAGCTTCTCTAGATGCCTCTATAGAAGGTCCTTGGTGGACCATGAGTTCCTCCAGGGCTGAGGTTGGTCCATGCCTACTAGAGGGACTCATGGTCCACAAAGGACCTTCTCTAGATGCCTCTATAGAAGGTCCTTGGTGGAACTTGAGCCCCTCCAGGGCTGAGGTTGGTCCATGCCTACTGGAGGGACACATGGTCCACCAAGGACCTTCTCTAGATGCCTCTATAGAAGTTCCTTGGTGGACCATGAGTTCCTCCAGGACTGAGGTTGGTCCATGCCTACTGGAGGGACTCATGGTCCACCAAGGACCTTCTCTAGATGCCTCTGTGGAAGGTCCTTGGTGAACCATGAGTTCTTCCAGCACTGAGGTTGGTCCATGCCTACTGGAGGGACTTATGGTCCATCAAGGACCTTCTCTAGATGCCTCTATCGAAGGTCCTTGGTGAACCATGAGTCCCTCCAGGGCTGAGGTTGGTCCATGCCTACTGGAGGGACTCATGGTCCACCAAGGACCTTCTCTAGATGCCTCTATAGAAGGTCCTTGGTGGACCATGAGTCCCTC